CTACTTACTACTACTACTACTCCTCCTCCTCCTCCTCCTCCTCCTCCTGCTGCTGCTGCTGCTGCTAGTCGTGGTAGTCGTAGTAGTAGTAGTAGTAGTAGTCGTAGTAGTAGTAGCAGTCGTAGAGAAGTGAGCACCGGCAGTGGTGGTCGTCTGCCCGCGCATGTCGGAGGCGGGGGGTGAACGGGGCCCTCCCCTGATGTACGGGGGGGGGGGGGGGGGGGGGACGTCCTTGATGTCCTTGTAGGCTTGAACCCGAAACCCGCTCAGGACCGGCCTGAAGTCTAAGCATGCCTACAGCATCCTTCAGCTCGAAAGAGCCACGAGCCTGAGGAAGATGTAGTGGGATTTCCAGGCTTAGCTTGTGGTGGTGAGGGTTGTTTCAGTTGAGAGCCGTTGTTGGTCGCCGTGATACCGAGGAGATATAGCGACGTTTACAGGCTGTAGGCTTTTCAGCGTCATTGCAGGTTGTTCCAAGGTCCGTGGAGTCTTTGGTGAAGTCTTTGGTGGGATTCCCACGCTCATGGAGGTCAAGAACCGACAGGGCGAACCTAATGAGCGTGCGTCAAGGTTAAACCGAACCCTATTTCATGGAATTATAACTTCCCTCCAAAACCCTTCCTTAGCCCGAAGCCCTAAAGCCTGGACTCTAATGTTGCATGTAATCCAACATCTACTAGGTTATGAGGTGTTGTGTACCTTAAGCTGTTCTCCCCCCAGCCCGCGACCATTCCTAGTGCCTTCTGAGGTTCAGGGGTGATGGTTCATTATATGCCATGGGCCATCATTGAGGTCCACAGGGTAGTGGGGTTTGTTGTCTGGCTATGCAAAGGTCCATATCGGGGCCTCAACTCAATAGCTTCTTCGCATGCGTTTCACCCTTATTTACTTCTGGTAAGGTAAGATCTGATACGAGTGCCGGCGTTTATTCTTTGACGCCTGCAGTGCCGTTCGCCAGTATGGCTGTTGCAAGAGGTGTCAGCAGCGACAGCTAGCACTTGAACAGCGTTTGGGGCCGTTATTCGGAGGAGCAGCTTTCTGGGCTCCTTATTACATGTGTCTAAGGCTTTAGGACTTGGTTCAGTGCTCAAGCTTTTTGGAGAAACAGATTTGGACCTGCGATGTCTTGTTTTTCATGTCGCAGTGTTTTGCGCTATTGCTCTGGGATTTCGGGTTTACGGGCTTTCCCTGTGAATGTTGAGTTCTCGGTGTGTAGGGGCTTGAGGATCTTTGACTCCAACCAAGGTACCAGCTGTCACAAAGTCTGCTCCAGACCGGCGCTTTGTGAATCTTTGGCCCGGACTTAATAGGGCTGCATAAGCGGGCTTCAGCAGTTTGCGAGTGCCTGTGCAACTCTGCAGGATTTCGAGCATAGGCGCATGTAAGCCATGCTAAATGGCGACATACCGCGGGACAAGTACTGGCCCGGCATCCTTTGTCTTGAGCGTCGAAGGCTCGGGCACGAAATCCCTGTAGCACAAACCATAAGTCCTGAAACGTGCATCCCTTCAAGGCTGCCTCTTGAATTCGGATGCAGAATCATGCTGCATGCTAAGGAAAATCCGAGATGCCTGGGAGAGCAACTGGCAGGCCTTCCTCACCGCACGGTCTTTTTGGAGCCTCGAACTATGGTTTATGGTGTTGACAATGGAATCCTAAACCCCAATCCTAACCTCCTAAAACCTTCGAGCCAAACCCCTAAGCCCTAAGCCCCTCATCTAGCCTCTTCAAGCCCAACCTCTCAACCCTGAAGCTCCCAAGACGGAAGCGTCTACATCCCTAAACCCCTACAGACCCCTGTAACCCTCTGCAGCTCATGAACCTCAGGCAGACAAAAAGCCCTCAGACAGAGCTCTCGCGAGGGCGCCTGGAGCCGTCGCAGCGCGCGATGGGCTGCCGAGCCCGAGGCCGAACCTACACTGGTTCTGGTGGAAACAGCTTAGTTGGTGTAAAGCTATGCAGTAGTAGGTATAGTACGTAAGGATGAGGGTACAGGGATATGAGGGATCTTGCAAGGGCGTTCAGCGCTTTCTTTCTAGATTCCGTGCTTCTAAGTTATATAAGGGTTAGATGAGGGAATCAATCGAGTCAGGACGATTGCAAGGCTTCCGGGTTGAAAGCTTCAGGGCTGTTTGGGGTTGAGGTGTTAGCCGGGCGCTACGCTACGGTTAAGGGGTTAGTTAGGGGCTTTTGGCATGAAGTTGTTCATAGGGCTTGAGGGCTCGATGGGATTTCGGAATTTAGGGTTGAAGTTTCACTCTAACCGTCTTGTAAAGTTATGGAATGCTCTTTCTGAGCCGAGAACTTTCATGGCTGTTGACCTTGCAGCCCGCAGGGCCTTTGGGATCCTAGGTACACGACCCTTGGGCCACTAGGTTCTTGGAAGAGTAGACGTCGGCACTATCGAGAATCCCAAACACTAGAACCTGGCAGCCTGAAGCCGAGACCCAGAAGGGCTAACCCCAAAGCCGTATAGGTGCGGCAACACCTGGACTTCCACGCAGGGGACGCGAGCACCTTTTGGATGTCCTGGTGCCTTGACCATTCAGAGTCGATGCTTCTAAATGCGTTCTTGTATATTTTTGCTGGGAGATCCCGCTTTGCAGTTCTTTCCAGGTCGTAGGTTTGAGTTCTTCTTGAGAACGAGTGCTTCCTGGGTGGAGACTTTCGATTAGCAGTCTGGAGGTTTCGGTTTGTGCCTGTCAAAGCCTCTGTCCTCTTTGCATTCTTTGATTGAGGGCTCTTGATGGATGCGGAGAGCCGCGGGATGCTGTACGCACAAACCTCAACCTTAACGCCTGAGCTGGGCGGTTGCCATTCTTTAAGACCCTCAGCTCTGGTGCACCATTGACTGAACCGAGAATTTTTAAAAAAAAACAAGCACATGCTCCCAATGCAAATGTAGGAAGCGTTGGAGCCCGAAATTCCCAAGAGTCCCGCCCCCATGCCAGACCTTACCGAGGGACGAGTTTCTGCAAACCTGGCGGACTGTTGCCGTGGTGGGCCCGCCTGTTTGAGCCTAAACCAATGTGGAGTTTCGCAATGCTTGCGATGGGCGTGAATGGAGGGTAAAGCGCAGCTATGTACGTGAATTTTTAACATACATGAACTAAATGTGTACCTATCTGCGCATATATATATATGTATATATACACACACACACCTTTCTATCCATCTATCTAGCTGCCTACTTACATATCTACCTGCCTACCTTCCTATCCACCTATCTATCAATTTGTCTAGCTAGCTAGTAGCTAGTCTACTGTACTCTGCTCTCCTGTACTCTACTCTGCTACTCTCATCTATCTATCTGTCTATCTACCGATCCTTCGATCCATCTGCCGCTCAATCTGTCGATCAACCTGCTGATCTATTTGTGTGTGCGTGTCTATATTATGTACACACTTGGAGAGAGAGGGAGGGAGGGAGAGAGAGAGAGAGAGAGAGAGAGAGAGACCGCCAGGATGGACTGGTTTGCGAGCGCGGTGAAGGTCTAGAATTATTTGAGGGCTGCATATACAAGAACTTCTAGGTCAGGGAGTAGGAGGTTCGAAACATGCGGAGGCTTTGTTGGGTGCGTATGTCTACATATGCGTATGCTGCACGCGTATACATGTACCTATGCATATACATACACGTGTGCACATGCATATACACATGCACATACACACATATTCTGCATATTCAGCTACTCACAACCATACACTTACATGCATACCTACATACGCATGTACATACATCCATACATGCACATGCTCAAGCTTGATATTCCGATGGTTGACAAACATTGGAGGGTATGGCTGCCAGCAAGTTTCGGTTGCAGCTCCTTGTCTTCCTGGGTCTGCCTAGCCATGGGCTGGTTTAAGAAAGTGCAAGAAGATTCAGAAATTCGTCAAGAAGCCCGCACCTGTCGTTGTTGGGGCCGCGGCTAGAGGTCTCGTTGGTGCTCTCGTTGGCCACCATGCAGGCAAGATGGTGCGTGCCAAGCAGAAGATGCATGCAGCTGCTCAAGCCAATGTCGGGCCTGACTTTGATGCCAGTGGAAGTGGAGAAGCTACCCAACGAGCTGCGACAGTTCCTGAGCAAATCCAGAAGCTGTTTGAATGAAAACAAGAAGGTAAGATCACTGACGAGCAATATCAAGCTGCACTGAAAAAGGTTGACTCGTGAAGCCGCCGTGGTAGGATCGTGACGTGTGGGATGTGGATGCATGCACGGTTCAACTGTCTTTCGGATGTGGAGCGCCTCGTCTCTCGCGTGCACAGTGATAGTTCGATTTAGTTCGATTATGTCTGGTTGCTATTGAGACAGGCCGTTGCAATACTGACGTGTCGTTTGCGCTGTGCCAACATTCGTTGAGTCACACGAGGTGCCGCGAAGCTAAAGTCCGTGCTAGTGCAGCCCATGAGTGGCAAAGGGGATAGGCTTGGCAATGCGTCGATGCGGTTGCCCCTGCTAGCTTGCCTGTTCCGCCAGCTGTTGCCTATTCGAAGCAAGGGACTTCAGGTTTTTGGGTTTACCATAATATGTAAGGGCCCCTAGGGGGACTGGGGCAGAGGGACTTAGTAGCCCATATTAACGAGGACTTGATAAGGGTCTAATTAGGCCTATTGAAGGAAGTATAGGACCCTACAGCCCTCCCCCTTACCCGGGTCCCTATGAATTTAGGGCTTCCACATCTGGAGATGAGAGTGCCGTCAACACTGCGAATTTGAGTTCAGGCGGTGCCTTCTTGGCATTCGTTCTTCGTTTCGATGCTTACACGTGTGTTCGGACCTCAACGCTTTTAGAATCATGTCTGTACGTCAGATGTAGGTTCCAGCTGCTGCGGGACCACGCTGGTTGAGGGAGCTCTCGAGGATCCGTCCTGTAGGATCTGGAACAAACCCTCTGTCACCCGAAACCTGCAGAAACTTGACGCGCCAGTTGAACTGGGACACCACGAATCAGATCGTATAGTGTCCCGACTTCTAGGATACACTCGTACCCAAACCAACAGCCCTAGATATTGGGCCAGAACGTCAAGCCTATGCAATCTCTACACACCAAAGGACTAACACGGTAAGTTGTCAGCACCTATATTATATAAACTCTATGTTGGCCGCTTGAACGCCTAAGTTTCGGGCGCCAGAGTCCAAAGCTCTAAACCCGGAAGCCTGAAACCCGACAACCCGAACGAACGTCTTTGACTACCAACAGCAGGTGGAAAGACCAATGCAGATTCGAGCTTTGCACTTCGAGGTCATCGGCGACTCCTTCTGTGCAGCTCGGTGGCCCACTGCTTGGGGTTGTAGGCGCTTAGGGCTTGAGAGCTGCCGGGGTTTTAGGTCTTGAGGTGTGTTTAGGGTGTTTCAGGGCGAAGCTTAGGGGCTGTGGGTTTCAGTCTTGGGACTATAGGTCCAGAGGTTCTGGCGTTTGGTTCTTTCAGCTTCTGGTTTGTGTTGTGGAGATTGGAGTAGGGGATCTTGGGTTTTAGGAATCGTCCTTGCATGCAGGCTGCAGGGATGCAAGCCAATGTTCTGTAGTTCCGGTTGTGTACAGATCTTGCTTGCTAACTTCAAACAGAGCCAATCAACCTTACTAGACCTGAAAGCCCCGGAGACTGAACAACCCGAATCGTCAAAAGCCCTAAACCCTGTAGCCCCTGTGGGGTTTGGACAGACTCAGACATGCACATGATGGAGTTTGCCGGGACTCCGAAAAACAAGCCCTGCAGATGCCGTCAAAGCTCTCATCCTATCGAAATGAAAAAGGTTTAGAGATTGGGGATTCTGCTAGTCGTGAACTTATAGGGTGAACCGATCGAAGCATGGAGCGACCATCCTTCAGCTGCCACATAGCGGAGGCCCAAACTACAAACTCTGCTCTGTCAGTCGAAAGTTTTGACCTGAAGATATGCTGTGCCGACAAGTATTAACCAAGTAAGCACAGCGCGCCTAGCGTAGAAATGGTTGAATGCTACAGCCCTCGAAAGCACATGCAAAACCCAAATCCCTTATCGTTGAACTTGCAAACCAAACTTTAGTTACCATGCCCGAACACCTTCAGGGCTTGTTAGGATTTCGGAGACTCCTCAGAGGACCCAGCCGCCGCATGCCTGCTTGGATGCGCGTCATTTTGGGCTGGCGAGGGCTGCCGCATGGCTTTAAGCTTTGTTCATTTCGGTTGCCAGTTCTGGCTTATAGGTTCCAGTCTTCGTTTGATACTTGCCGTATATCTCTATGTCGCATTCATCTGGTTTCTGCTGAGTTCTAGAGCGCAGCGTGCAGAGTACTGCAAGCGAAGCATCTCTAGCACATGCACAAAAGCGTTCCCTGCGCGTAGCGCTGCGGCACGGTATTTTATGCTCGTGTCTTATTATTTACCGTGGACACGGGCCTGACGGATCTCAGATTGTAAATTCCAATACAACAGGCCAGGTTTTGACCTAAAAGACGTTAATCGCGCCAGCACGTGCGAGCAAGCATTTCAGAAAACTCAAGCTCGTGTAATCGGGGAAAAGCATTTTGGCCTTCGGTCGTGGTACTGAATCCGATAGTACTTGAGGGAAAGCACTCTGGTCATGCTCCCAAGAATCCCGCCATACTTGGGGTAAGGCATTTTGGCCGTTGTCCCGAATGCGCCATTGTTTGCGGAGTCGTGAATCCCGCCAGTACTTACGGAAGCCTTCCGACCGTGCTCCTGAATCCCGCTGGCATGTGGGGAGGAAGCAGTTGGCCGTGCGTTTTTTGGTGGTCTTTCGAAGGTATCTTGGGTCTCTTGGTGGTATGGGGTCTCGTGGTGGTCTTTTGTGGTCTCGTGGTGTCTCCTGCTGGTGTCCTGGTGGTCTCTGGGTGGTCTCCTGGTCGTCTCCGCGGTCTCCTGCTGGTCTCCCGGTTTTCGTGGTCGCCCTGATCGTAGTTCGTCGTGGATACCCTGGTTGTCCTAGTTGCCAGAGTCGTCAAGGTCGTGGTGGTGCTCTTTCGCTGGTTGGGCAGTTTGGGGCTTCACGCTGGCATTCTAGCGTTTTGAATTCTTTTCTTTAAACGATTTGCTTATAACAGTTTTATGCAAGTTCTTGTCAAGAAACTAAGAACCTGTGGGCATCCTAAACCGGATATGACAAGTTGTGTGCCAGTTGTGTGCCTATCTACATATATATATATATACACACACACATGTTTACATACTCAACTTTTGCGCTTTGGTGCTTTGAGGCTTCTGGGTCCAAGGTTGTGCAGCTCGAGAGCTTTGATGTTTGGGGGGGTTGAGGGTTTTCGGGACGCAGATGAAGGGTTCAGGGCCTTAGTTTTGTCCTTTTGAGTACAAGACTCGACAAACCGCCTGTTGGGCTTCTGGATACCGTACTGATCGTTGCGGATGACAGGATTTACAAGTTCACAGGGGTGAATGCCCGACAGGACTTGTAAGGAGCCAAGAGACGAAACAGTGGACTTGCTTGAGGCTGTCGCTTACCCAAGCCATTCACTGAACGCCTGACCACGCTGTTTTGTCGGCTTCACGGACAGCCTCGTGCATCGTGAAAATGCTCAGCTACATGCAGAAAATCACGGCAAGTCCCCGAACAGATCCCCAGATCCTCCACGCTCAATCCCGAACTAGTAAGCGCTCATTTCCAACTGATACGACAATCCTGGGAACCCCGTAAGTTCAAAGTTCCTAGCCCAAAACTTACACTCCCGTACTCCAATCCCGAAGCTGCCAGCTCCTGGCAGAAAGAACTCCATGAGACCGCGCTCTGTCGAGGTCAAAGACTTTACAGCCCCGACGCACGTGGCGTACACGGCGAGCTCACAGATGGCAACCAGAAGCTGCTAGTGGTCTATGGGGCTATTTGGTTTGGGGCATGGTAATTGTCAATCTACGTGCGTCTCATGCTGCAAGCATTGCATCTGAGGACCTACTCACTTCAGGCCACGCCTTCTCTCACGTTGCCTTCAGGCTGCAGACTTTTTGTGTGATGTTCTCGGTGATGTTTCTCGCGCGGTTGCATAAGTGCTTTGGCTAGAGCCTATCTACGGAGTTTAGGGTTCTGTGTGTCAGAGGCCCGAAAACCCTGAACCCCTAAGCACTAATCATGGGTGTTACGGTTCGGTTCGGTGCGGTTGGCATTGCCCTCCACACTCCTTCCACCCCCCCCTCCACCTCTCCACCCCCCCCTCCACCATCCACCCCTCACCCCTCCACCCTCCCAGCCCCTCCACCCCTCCACCCCCTCCACCCCTCCCCACCCCGCCCCCTCCACCCCGTGAGCTCTAAGTTCGTGGCTTTCACCCACTACAACTCCAAACTCGAAACTGTGTAGCAAGTCTTGCCTATTGGGCTCAACAGTCAGGTGTGCAATCCGGCAAGCCTCTAATTACAGTTTGCCTTCCCAGATAATCCTGTTCTGACTCGAGCCGTGCCCCCCTCACGACACAATCCCACCTACCCCACGACTCCTTGATGTCGAGCCCCAAGCCTTAAGCGATTCACCTTCCTGCTCCCCAGATCCTTTGTGCAGATTTGAGGGGTTGCTCCAGGCAAGCTCTCGCAAAGGAGACCTAAGGGAATATGTAGAGCTAAAATGCTCTTTTCGGAGCATGGTAGCCTACAAGACAAGAGAATAGAGGAATGCAGAGGATGACAAGACAAGGCTAACCATACTGGGCACGTGCATAGGCTGCAAAGACTCTGACAGAAGAAAGTTGTTAACACATATTGAGATACCTCCGGCAGCCCCGCCAGCATAAGCACCCTTGAAGAGTTTTCGCGTTTGGTAGGACTTGTGGCTGTAGTATATGAGAATCGAATATGACTTAGGCATCTAGAATTTAGCCTTACCATTATAGGACTGAGTGGAACCATGCTTACAGACAAGACTGGCAAAAGCAAACAGTAGAATCCACTCATAGATACCACACGAAGATGCTGAGACATCCAGCATCTGGAAATCCTCTTAAACACACCAGAGACCCTGTGATTATGCCATTAGAACCGACTCCACTGAGGACCATATCGATGCACCGTCATGCAAACCTTTGAAGACTCCATAGAAAGCCTTTCATACAGCCAGAGAGCATTTATAATCTACACATGCAACTGTGGACGCGTGTCTGCTCAAGGTCCTTCGAGCTTGGGATAACATGGGATTTGGGGCTTGGAGGCCCTGGGCATTTAAGTCTTTCCGGGTTTCTCGTGAGGGTTGCCGGATGCGGGGTTTAGAACTTAGGTCTTTTGTTTCTCCTGGGTTGCGTGTTCTTCGCTCGCATGGTTCACTTCTCCCAGGATCGGCAAGGACGTCGACAAGGAATGATGCGCAAATGTCTATGAGAGCATGGTCACTTGCACTGCGGTTGCTGCAGGGAGCCTTTTTTCAATCAGGCACTTGTCTTGGGAAACCTGATATAAGGCTCGCCCACATGTGACCTCCTTGCATGAAGTTCTGACGAGGTGATCAGCCGATATTCACACACATGCCTATTCACACATATGCTTCACAAGGGCACCTTCAAAAATACATGTTGAGGAGGACTCGACGGAGAATGCCCAGCCATGCTGGCCAGAAATTTCGTCGGACGCCACCGTGGCTCTGTGTCGTAGGTAGAGTCCAACATCGCAATCTTGAATGCTTGGCACTGGCCTGAGTCCTGAAAGCAGAATCCGCGACCTCAGAATGTGATAAGTTCTTCGCCCCTTGATTCCCTGATTCATACAATCACAAAGATGGTTTTCATCGTTCCCAAACTCCAATATCCCACCCAGCAGTCCTCAACTGCGAAAACTCAACCCGTCAACCCTAAGCGATATGTTGGATTCTGGCTGCCTTCCAAGAAGGCCAGGCCGGGAATCAGGGCTGTCCTCTTCAAAATTTGCATAAGAAAGAGTACATGTCGATACGGGTGCTTCTTACATGATCTAAACCCTATATCAACCTCTCCCCCCCTTGTGCTTTTTCCTTTTGAGAGTACGACCCTGGTGGAATTCTTGGACAGGGCAGCGAACCAGAGTTGCGTCTAAGTGATTGAAGATTAAGTTGTCGAACCTCAACGGCTTGAGCCGGACGTTGCAAATCTTGGCTCGCTGCTTCTGTCGCGTTAACGATCCCCACAAGGGGCTGGAAATGCCACAGTCCAGGGCTCCAGGGTTGGGCTGAAGGGTTTCATGTTCGGTCAGGCTTCCGTCTTCGCTCTCAGGTCTATCACTTAAGGTTTGGGCTCAAGGGATGTCCCTGTGCTTACGGCAGTTTTACGTTAATATGGACAGGTACCCTATCTGTCAAGCCCTAGAGACTGAGATCGTGGGTCCGAACGCATCTGCCGGTGCAGATTGGTCGACCAAAATCAGCGTCTCCGACAGGGCGACCGAAGCCTAAGCGCCAAGCAAGGACCCAAAAACCTTAGTGTGGCACTCGAGACAAGTATTGGGCTACAACGGATGCTAGATGGGCAGCAAAAGATGGGCAGCAAGAACACAATGGCCCGAAAGGCACCGGCAACACACGGAGTCGTCGTAGCTCCTGCGTATTTCTAAAACGAGGTCCGCAGTCGCATGGAGCGGCTGAAACAGGTCTCACGCGACCAGGACGAGGCGGGTTTGTATCGGTGAAGGGCTTTGGTGGTGTGGGCTTGAGTTGTTTGTGAACCAAACCGTTTTCGTGTCCCAAGGTGGCTATGCACTTTTGGTTCAACCAGGTTCACGGATTTAGGCCGGTGTCGGTTCGAAGTGGGATTGCTCTAAATTTGGCCCTGCCCGTTGTGGTATGGACCCCTCGAGGGGATCATTGGGGTTGTGAGAACCTTCCTTCTAAGGTTCGAAGTATGGGCCTCCTAATATTACTATGGATATGGTCCCTGAGGCATTTACAGACCCTTAAAGGGTACATACAGGGTGTATATAGTGGGCTATACAGGGATCCTTGGTTAAGGTCTGTATTGCACACCCCTTATAAGTCTGCTGCCACGGACTGCGGATGTAAATTCTAGGATCGAACTTGTTTAATCTCTGCTCTGGTGACGACGAAGCTCGTACGATCCGGCATAGACGACGACTGAAGGATAAAAGGGAGTGGTATACAGGAAGGAAGAACATATATCAGTATATCTGATGCAGGTTTGAAGAGGAGCACAGCGTACCTTCGGACGAAGGTTGGAAGTTTTGCATGGACGAATGACGACTGTATATTCCGCCACTTTGGCGAAGACTCATCTTGCATTGCTGTTGTGAATTGCATCGTGACCGACATTGAAAGTATATCCGCAGCTGGCATGTAAAGACTTTGACGGCACTCCAACTGCGGGTGTTTGGCTCAAGATTGGCATCTGCAGATGCGAAAGGAAAAGGATTCTGAGGCCCGTAGGGCAGCGCGCCCCTGCCGTGCCTTCGCCCAGACCCGTGTAGTAGGTCAGATAATAGTCAGCTCTTCGGAGCGCGCCTGGCCCCGGCTAAGGGCTCCCGATACCCTGGGGATATCTGGGGGACACGTCAGCCTAGGGCGCACAAACAAGGCGTTTTCCGCTCTGAGCCCGAGCGAGAGACTAATTCCCGTTGCAACATTACTTGGCATAAATCACTGTAACTGAGCACCGTGATGCCAACCCCTCCACTGCCGGCATATACGTTGAACATACTGTTACTACTGTGTATACTTACTATTATGAATTATTGGGACACGAGTCATGCTCTGGTTAGGAAATCCAAAGAGTTCTGCACCGATCTACAGGCCCAACTAGGGGCCCATGGTTTCAACTTGGATTCTTCAGATCACTCTGAGACTTGAGAATGGACGCTCCCAACCAAACCCAAGCTTCTAAACCATAAATCCCTACAGCCCAAAAATCCGAAACCGAAAGCCCAACCCTTCAAGCGTGGACCTGAAAGCAAAAACATAAACCCAAGCTGAAAGCCCAAACCTTCGAGCCACGGGTCTCCAATTTAAGTTCGCCTCCGCCCTCTGCAGTGTTTCGGGCAAGCTACAGTCAGGCTGTGCGGCGGGAACAATTCCTGGCCAGCTACGAAGATGCTCCACAACTGCAAAGGTTCGGAGTTGATGGAGTCAGGGCGGGTTTGGGGGTTTTGGTCCGGCCACACTGCTCACAGAAGCAGAAGAGGAATTAGAGCGAGTTTGCGGAATAAGTACCGATCGAATAGCTATATGTGCACGATAGCTCGTGCGACCGAGGCCCGACAAGGTGTCCAGGAACGCATGCGCTCTCTCATGGCCTTGCATCCCAGCCGGTGATCCTTCGGCGAGGGTCTTCGGCTCATGGTCGGTAAGTATAACTGTTTTGAGGCCTGGAGGAGGAGGAGGAGGAGGGTGTAGGGCTTGGGAATGCAACGTAACACATGTCTCTCACGAATGTATTAACCTTCAGAGCTGGTCATCCCTTTTGTGCATCGAGGGCTCCTTGGGATCAGCCGTTGCAGGATTCTCGGTTGAATTTGGGGTTTTCGGGAGTCGGGTTAGCGCATTATGGCATTGCCGACTGCTTTATGACCCAATTAGCCCCAGCATCGCAGTTCCGATAAACAATCGCCAAGGCGTTTGAAGACCTGTCTGCGCAGAATCTGCAGTGAAGCTTTTTCGGTAACCCGAACCCCAAGCAAAGACCCCAAAGCTGCAAGCATGATGCCTATGCACCTTGAACTTAATCTCCTACCACAAGAAATGAGCGGCCGCAAAACTTGGACCTCGACAGCATCTGAAAACCTAAATGGCAACCCGTCTAGCCTGCAGGGGAACAGAATCAGATTGCCACATATCCAAGCCTTGAGGTTCTAAAACCCCAAAACAGAAGCCCTTGAGCTCGAACCTCAAACCCTGTACCCCCGACTCTGGCCCGGTTTAGGAGTTAGGATCTACAGCCTGAAGCTCAAAAGCTGCAAAATCCCAATGATTCTGAAGCATTACATGAATCCTGTTGACCCGAATAACCCTCGATGCGTGGCTGCCGAACCCCCAACACGCAGCGCTAAACCCTTACGACGATCATGGTGGACAAGTTTAAACAGCAGCTGACACGACATCCCCAAACCGTAGAGCAACCCGACACGACGAAGCAACGAAAACATCCTATCGAAATCGAAACCCGAAATCCAGACTACCTCAGCCAGCAAAACCCGCAGTGTATCAACAAAGCAGCCTAAGCCTGCAGCTTCAAATCTTAAACCGAAAACCCTGAACCCCAAGTCGCCCAAGAACCCCCAGGCCCAGCTCCGCACCGAGATGCTGCGCAGCCCTGCGGCCGCGCACCAAATCCCACGGGATTTAGGGATGTTTAAGCTTCAGTCCTCAAAGCGTTCCATTCGGGTGCAACATGGGCTTACATACTTCTCCAATGCTCAGCATGCCACTAAACCTTTCCGGGTTCTCCTAATCCAGTATTCGTCTTGAGTTAAGCGTCTATGAACTAGAACCGTTTGGGACCCAGGGGTGTTTAACAAAGATGCGAAAGCTCCAGTAGGATTTTGGATTATGGGGCTTTCGATGAGGCTAAAGTTGTGCCATAGGTTTTCAACCACTGGAAAGTTGAGTTCATTATTTACAGGCCCTGTCAAGACTCCAAATTCAAGGAAGTCCTCACCCCCAGAACCTAACCTGCCCCTAAATGACAGGTTGACTTGAAGGCCGCCCCAGCACAACTTGGGGTTCCGGGACCCCTGAACCCCAGATTCAATGAGCTCTAGGAAGACAATTCTTCGGACGGGATGTTGCCTGTCCTGGCGGCGGAAAGCAAAAATCACACCTGCCGACTACATGCGCACGAGAAAAGGCCTGAGCCTGACTATCCGGAAGAAAGTAAGTAAGCCTTACCCCAGGACTCCAGGACAAGCTGAAAGTTCCAGCAGTGGACAACCCAGGGGATACAGTTGTTGTGTGGGTCGTTTGATCGCATGTAGTTTCCATAGAAACCTTGAACGAAATCCCAGCCTTAAACACCAAGCCGCAAACCCCAACTCTAATTCCTAGTCCATTCAACATCGTCTCAGCCTTGCTGGCTCCGAAATTTTCGATTTGATGCTCAGGGTTCCTGACTCCTTCCACTGAAGCTGGGTCAGACCTGTTGGGATTGGGGGTTTGGGGTTCAGGGCTCGGGGAGCCTACGGCTTTTAATTGAAAGGGTGTAGGGTTTCGCACCCTTGAACCTTGCGACCTGAAATGAGAGGCCCAGAAGCAGAAGCCAACAGCTGTCCCACCCACATGGACGGAGGCTGGCGGAGCACATGGAACCTTCTGTTGGGGCTGAGGTCATTCATAGCTACCTTAAAGTACATGTTTCCCTAGCGAGCATCACACCCGAAATTGCTCATGGCTCAAGGAAAATCTTTAATCCTTAATCACGCCCCAGGCTGCGAGCCCCAAGTCCTGAATTGGATCATTCAAGTCTGCATTCAACGATCTAGATCTGCGTATACGTGCCAAAAGTTTCTATACATACATGCATATTAATGTAAAGTAATGTAATGTAAAGTAATGTAATGTAATGTAACGTAATGTAGTGTAGTGTAATGTAATGTAATGTAGTGTAATGTATTAATGTAATGTAATGTAATGTAATGTAATGTATACATGTATACATGTATACATGCATACATGCATACATGCATACATGCATACGTCCATACGTCCATACATCCATACATACAGACATACAGACATACAGGCATACAGGCATACAGGCATACAGACAGACATGCATACATACATACATACATACATACATACATACAGAGGGAAAGAGACACAGCTATTTCGAGAGAGACAGAGAGAGAGAGAGAGAGATGGCGAGAGTTACACGACACCCCTTGAAGCAGGATGCGAAGCGCTGCATGACATTCTTTGAGAACTCAGGATATTTCCGGGGACACACGGCAGAAGCGTATGCGATCTTGCAAACACATAACCCATTGAATTTGGAAATATGGTACAGAGTTGAGGGTTCAGGGAGTGCGACAAAGAAATCGTAGCCCTAAAAGCTTACCCTGAAGCCGAGACATCAAGCAAGATGGCGGATTTCCCAGAATTTCTTTCGGACCCAACAGTAGGCAGAAGCTAAAACAAATGGTGTGAAGTGATGTTTAGTTTTCGATCCTTCCGGGCATCGTGCGTAAAGAGGATCCTCGATACATGCGACAAGGTACTCGTACCAAAGAGAGCTAGCGAAGTGATGCTGCAGTGCTTGTGATTGTACATCGGCCCGTACATAGACCCGGAATGTAGAATTTGAGCCCTCGTTGTTCGAAAGCTTCCACGTGTTATGACTACTCTTTGAGACTTTATGAATCTGTGTAAGGTAAGTATTTTGGGGATCGGGGTTTGTGTGCGGAGTTGTTCATGGTCTGAAGGTTTATGGCCAGAGCCACTGCTGCCATGTTTGGCTTTACTCGCAGCGTCGTAGCGCCTACCAGTGGCGACAGTCCGAGCAGTTTCCCGACCGCGGCACCTTCTTCATGGGCCACAACCTCCCGAACGAAGAGCAGCCACCTGCACCAGGCAAGTTTACCACACGTAAATCTCTAGCCCTACCCAAAGGAGAGCTCTGCGCCCCCGAAAGACACGAATAGGAAACCCCCAGGCCGAAACACCGATACCTAATTCCTACTTCAAACCCACCTAAGACTTCCAGGAAGCTGATACTGGATCGCGAACCCCATAGCCACTTTGAGCTCGGAGCGCGAAGTGGCCATGGCATCTAGCAAGGATCCGTGCAGCGAGGATCAAAGTCCAGCGGACCTGCCAAACGACACGAAGGTTTCGCCGCAGTTGAGCGAGAAGGCTGGACTAAGAAGCCTCAAAATGAAAGGAGACTGCAAGACGAAGCCAACTTCTGAGCTTTTCAAACCAACTGCATGCCTTCATCCTCCCAACCGAAATCTGAGCACCTGCCACGGTACGCAGCCAGCAGATCTTTGAAAACCTCTGCAGGCTCATATGGCTCCCAAGGGGCTGTGAAGATGTGACGGAAGCCCGAAACCCTAAAGCCCAAAGCTTAAAACAGGCGTGCAAGGGATCATCCCCCGCCCCCTTCCCCCCCCCCCTGCGAGCTCTATGGGATCTTTCGGAGGTCTCCAGGCCCAGGCTCCTACACCTGCACAAATCCTTAATCCCAGAAGCTTCTGTGGTTTGTGGCTTATAGGTTTTGGGTTTCGTTTTTAGAGTTTAGGATTCAGGGCCGGTTGAGGGCCGGACTTCGGCTCAAGGCTTAAAGGTTTGGGATCTAGGGTTTGGGTTTGAGGCTTTTCAGGCTTGATGCAGAGCGGTTCAGTCCCCGAAGTCCTCACAAGCCGAAACCTTGGCAATCCTTAAGGCCGGTTTTCGGTTGAGCGTCGCAGCTTAGTTGGTTTAGGATCGCATTTAGGGATGTTTAGGGTGTAGGTTTACGGTTTCTGCTCAATGTTGTTGTTGCTTGCAGTTCCCTTGGTGTGTACGGTGACTTTGAAGTCAGTACCCCAATTCCCCGGCAAGTCAAATCGCTCTTCCCAGGCCCCACACCCTAAGCTCCACATCCTCCACAAAGCGGTAATGAAGCTACAAGACAAAGAAAACAAACTCCCAGGCAGTTGCACCGAAAGAGCACTGCAACGCTTGCGGAGTTGTGCTCGGTTGCTGGGCCTTCTTCGGGGCTTTTGGCCAAGTGTGGTTTGGGTTTTGCGAGCTCTCCGATTGCGATGCGAGCATATGCCCTGGAAGTTGATAGCGCAATGTGGGTCGAAATCAGGAGGTTGCAATTTCAGTGCGAGAGAGGAAGAGATAGAGAACCAAACTGAGGGAGGACGGAGACAGAGAGGGAGAGAGAGAAAAAGAGAAGCCAACCCTTGCAGGATATATGCATGATATATGCACCTATAGATACCATGTCCAAGCACCTACATAGAAAAAAAGGACCGTCTTGTTTGAATATCCAAGCCTATCCCGGCCCATCCGACGTGCTGAAACTGAAAACCTGCATCCTGACTGCTGGCCCCTACTGGCCCTACTTTTTGCATCGATGCCCACATAACTCGAAGAGCCATGGAGCAGAACTCGCCCCAAACCTCAGAGGGTAAAACCAGGTCAGTTGGATTGAATTAGGGTTGATTCGATATACGGCTGGATTTGTATAGGGTCTATCGGTTGCAGGACGCTAACCCATAAAGCCACACGTTCAAACCCCAACGCCCTAATAACATTTACAAAGTCTAATAGGCCCAACACCTCACCGTCTTCACTTCTCCAAGCCAGCAAATCATAAACCCTTAGACCTTGCAACCAGGTTTAGGGTTTAGGGGGTTTAGGGTTCCCCATGCATCCCACATAAGACGCCGAACTGCCCAGGGAAGAGACACCTGAACCCGAAGCATCAGTGCCGCCTCTGTGGCTCCTCAGACAAAACAGCCGAGAGGACTAGGTAGTCAGAAGTCGAGCTACTGAATGTCAGTTCTCCAATATGCAACCTTTGCCCTCTTCCTGTCGTCTTGCAGTTCAATCTGGTGTTTCGTTGGGATATTCGGGGAAATCAGGTAAGGAAGCTGTATACCGAAAGACCTCGTTGGAGCTTCGAGTCTTCAGCTTGGGGCTTTTAGGCTTTGTAGGATTGTTGGGATCATGGATTCAGGTTGGGTTTTTGGAATTCCGAGCTCGCTTCGGGAGGATGTTGCGGCTGGCCAACACATAGCCTCGTGTCGTCTTTTTCCTGTTATTCACCTGCGTTGAAGGAGCGCCCTTGTATCTTTGAGGAGTTGCTGGGGAACCTGGTCCGGTCGGAGGTGACAAAAAAAACACTTCAGGGGGTTCAGGGCTCTGAAGACAGAAGGTAAATAGGGAGGGCTAAAAGTATCCAGGGCTCAAGTTGGAGGCTTCCAACGAGCTCCTCCGCCCCAAGCAGCCTAAAATTGCTCCGGCATGAAAACAAAACGGCATCCTCATCCCTTGCGCTACCAGGTCTTCACTCCGACACCCTGTAGTTAGTAGCTGTGGCTTCAACTAGCTCCTGTGCCAGTAGCTGCCAGTCAGAAGGCGAACGTGGACAAAGCTTGTGGACTTTAGCTCAAAGCCTTTATGCGTTTCCCAGGAGCCACGGTTTGTGCCACCTGCTCTCCAAACAGTCTGAAATTGGAGGAGGGCAGTGCTGCCCAGCGGGTGTGCAACCCCTGCGCCTCGTCTGTTTTTTACCCGAACTATTCCAATAGGCTCCTGTGCACAAGTCTACGAACGCCAATGGGACTTGGGAAGTTGTCGCCTTTCACTTCTCGGTCCTCCCCAGAACAGAACTCATCTTTCAACCAGGCTTAGTCGTCCTAAACCTCAATACTACTTACCACGAGTCCCTCAAGCTTGCAACTTGATCATCCGGGACCCTGCGGTAAATCCGACACCGCAATTTCACTCATGGGGTTTGGCAACTTCGTTTGTTTGTGAGGTTCGCCAGTGGGTGAGTTTGAAGGTCGGGGGCTTTGGAGCCATTTTGGAGTTTGAGCCGGAAGCCCTGAAGCCTCCTTCTGCGTGCAGCATGGGAGTCCCGGTCGAGTGTTTTCAAAGTTGGAGGCCCCCTCAGACAACTCTCATGTCAGCTAGAGCAGCTAGGGTGTCTGAACCCCTGGTTTTAAATAGGCCCTATAAGTGACCCTTTTAGGTGGCTTTCCTGGTGAGGTTTCTAGCGGTAAAGGCTTAGGACTGGTAGCAGGCCTGAGGCTGGGAATTTAGGGCTGTTTCGGATTGGGCGACAGTTTGATCCGCTGAAGGCGATGAGGTTCCGCGTCAGCCCTCAATTTCTAGGTTTGAATTGAGGGTAGTTGAGCTGCCATATCCGAAGTGAATGAGACAAGGAAACAAATTAAGTTCCATAGCCTAATCGCAGAATCTCGGAGGTGTTGAGATTGTGCCGCAGCAGCCCGACCTTCTGAGACGTCTTGATGCCTTAGCGCGATACCTGGAGACTCACGTGGGAAGGCACCTGGGATGTCAGCTTACACGCGGTTTAGGGTTAAGTCTTGGGTTTCCCAATGTTTTAGGTGGGTTCGCATTTTTGACCTGGGGTTTCGCTTTGTGGATTCGGGTTGAGAGCTTTCAGACATTTTCAGATTCGTGTCCGAAACCCTGCAGCAAATCTTGGAGCTTCTCGACACATATCCCGACACCATCCTTTGGACGCTTTAAAAGCCACCCCTTAAGCTTAAACGCAGCCTGCTAAACCCTGAGCCCTTTCAAGACCACAACCAAACCTCCAGGGTGTTGCAACACGTCCAAACAGACCCGGGCGAGCCGACACCCGCATCTCCAAATCCGGTAAGCCCCCATGAAGTCACGCGCCTCCAACCATGGGATAAAAGTATAGGGGATCTGCTTGAAACGGCAAAGGCGAAAGGATCCTGGGATTGAGGGTTTGTATAAAGGGACTACCTATACCTTCATCCCGCCATTGACGCCCTTGGTGTAGTCCCTGGATCCAACCCCCACAGAATTTAGCGACTATTGCAAGGGGGCTTCACAAGGTTTCTGTGAGAGTTCCATAAGGTTTGTAGATCGAGGCCCTCGGAGGGCGACTTCCTTGAAGCCTCTGCGAGCGTTGACGCGGCCTTGGGGCGCTGTGAGGGCCTCCAGCGGGCCCTCGGGGAGGAGAGGATGCGCCGCTCGCTTGGCTTGTGTAGGGTTATAGTTACAGGGTGCCGTGTTCAAGGTTTAGTGTTTGTGAGTTTTTGGGGCATTCGGTCTAGTGAAGTGTGTGTGTTTGGGTTAATTAATCAACTGACACTGTCTTCTGCTAGTCCAACAGAGCTTCTCAAGGCGAAACAGCCACAAGAATTCCAGGATCGAGGGTTTGCGTTGTGACTTCACCTGGGTCCCATCCCGAGATGAGTTTGCTTTCATATGATCCTTCAAAAAGGTGGATTCCCTCTCTGTTGTGGGTTTCTTGCCTGGAGTAGATCCCAATGGGCTGAGCATCTCGCATGTATAGGTCGGGATCAAGATGTGGGGCTGCCGTAGAACAGGGATTTCTCTTGCTTGGGGTCGCTTGTGATTGGATCTGCACATTCTATGGTCTAGATGGTGATAGTCCTTCTGCTGTCTTTGCATTTCAGCCGAACTTATCAAAAGGCTGTTGATGCCGGCGTTTATGTAGAAGTTCTACACGGTCACTGACTTGCTCTCAAGCGCTGGCCCAAATCCCGACTCTGCTAAAGCTCTGCAAGGCCACTATAATTGATACTCCCCGTTCGAATCATCTTGGGTTTGGGGTACATGCAGTATTGAGGGCGCTGGGGCATTTCAGGGCGTCGAAGGAATCTACCGGGCTTTGGGTTTGGCCTCGAAGCCACTGCCAAGGGCTCATGGCCAAGCTCGAGGAGGCCGTGTTTTTCCTCAGTGTTTCGGTGACAGGATTTGCTACAGTTGCCTACAGTTGCCATTTAGGGTTTCGGAGTATAGGTGTTTAGGGTGTATACGGGGTCGGAGGGTTTGGGGTTTGAGGGTGTTAGTTAGGGTTTCGAACTCGGACTCCCGGCTGCCAGATTTGACTGTCCAGCCGGATAGGGTTTCGTGATTCAAAGCCTGATTTCCCTGAACAACAGCTTTGGGATCTCAAAATGCTGACGAAAGACCAGCACAAGCTCTGCAGACTTGACCGGGAATTGGTGTGCTTGGCTTGGGTATGTGTTGGGCTGGTGGCGACTGTGTTTCGTACAATCCGAATTGTTGCTTTTTATAGGCAGTTGTCACTGCGCCGAGAGAGAGAGAGAGAGAGAGAGAGAGCTAGAGCGAGAGCGAGAGCGAAATCTCCCTCCCTCCCTCCCTCCCTCCCTCCCTCCCTCCCCCTCCCCCTCCCCCTC